TTACATCATGGTCTACGTGGATGATCTACTGTTCATAGGAGAACAAAAGGAGATAGACATCCTGTTTGACAAGATCATGAAACATGTCTTGCTTCGACCAACAGGCAAGCTCACAACTGGCAAAACAATCACCTTCCTTGGAAGAAACGTCGCCCACAAAGGAGATCACATGGACATTAGTCTGGAAGATGACTACATCGACAACATACTGGAGGAGTCCAACATGACCAAATGCAACGCAGCACCGGCACCCGGGATTTCACATCCCAAAACAACAATAGAAGATGAGACAGCTCTTGATCAGGAACAACATTCAGCTTACAGGCGTTTGGTTGGCAAGATACAATGGCTAGCATACACAAGGCCAGACATCAGCTATGGAGCAAAGGAGTTGGCCAGGCCCCTACAAGCACCAACACAGATAGACAACAAGAAACTCAAGCACATGATACGATACCTCAAAGGTACAAGATACTGGAAACACGCTCTCAGACCGACAGCACAAATACAAGACAGGAGGATTCCAATCAACATCGACATCTACACAGATGCAAATTGGGCATCATGCGAAACAACACGCAAGAGTACAACAGGATTTGTCACACACTTCCTGGGAGCTAGCTACAGTTCACTATGGAAGCAGGACACACGCAACAATAGCCCTGTCATCAGCAGAGTCAGAGCTATACGCGATTGGTACAGCTGCACAAGAAAGCATCTACATCAGCAACTTCGTCAAAGAAGGTTTGGACACAAAGACCAACATCAGAATTCATACAGACAGCAGCTAGGCTAAATCAATAGCCATGAGAGAAGGTACATCAAAGAAAGCAAAGCACATAGAGCTACGATACCTTTTCATGCAACAACTGGTCAAGAACAAGATCATCACAATGTGCAAGATAAGGTCAGAACACAACCCCTCGGACATACTGACAAAGTTTGTCCCAACCGACACACTCCGCAGACACCTGTACAAGGTAGGCTTGCCCAGCCAACCTTGACACCAACAAGCACATCAACAACAAGAGTATCACCCACAGTCAGCACTGCACAGTTTGCGCAGTATGTTTCAACATCAGTTGCACAGGTCACGCACTTCTGTTTCACTACATGTCAGCCGGCTAAACCACTTTAGGGTAGTTACATTGCCATGGATCTACCCCCCTGCGCTTTTACTCTACTTTTGGGTACAACGATGACACTGTTTTTTGCACTACAATCTTTCGACTGCAGTTTCACTTGACAGTTTGACAAAGCTTGAATACATGTTTTATCACTGCAGCCATTTACATCGGTCTTGTACAGCTAGAGGGGGACACATTGTCAGGTCAACAATGGCTCATCGTGCATACAAGTCCATCCATCAGCCTATGGTGGTACCGGATGGCTTTAGACTGGAGCCTACAGAGGGCAACCCCGCCTACATTGCTCCCGAAGAGCCAAGCGACTACACCACCGTGCTCATTCCGCTTACAACGGAACAGGCCAAGTTCATGACAACAGTGGCAACCAAGGAGGCGCACAGAGTTGACAAGATCCCCGGCGACATGGTTTCATTGGCATGTTCTACAGCATCATGGACGCTGTGGGATACATGAGCTGGCTTATCGACAGTGGCCATGACAGTGCAGAGGACATGAGCAACTGTTACATCTACCGCGTCTCGCTACACACAGCCGAAATCCTGCAGCGTGTGTACGAGAAGAAGATTTCCATGTTCAACCGCGGCTACATCGGACTTGTGCTACAGCTACATGAACATCACACCTGGGTCATGACAGAGATTGAGAGGAACACCGGCACATTCTTTCGCATCACTGGCGACGTCAGGAATTTGTACCGAAGCTACAACCTGGAGAACGGCTACATGGTGCTACAGCACATCATCGTTAACATCGAACAGATGCTGGGTGTCGAGGACAAGTTCGACAGGAAGCATGCAGGTTTCTCCATGGCCATCAACCAGTACACCTACGCTGCGATACAGGCGGTGCCAGAGCCACTTCGTACAACTTTCACTACATCTTGGAGAACAAGCTACAGCTGTCAGGAAGCTACAATCTTGTCCCCCGGACAAGCTGGCTACAGCGATCAACGCATGCGAGAAGTGGACAGTGCTGTGATCCTTTCACAGCACAATGGCTACAAGATGATGCACAGCAAAGAAATTCAAGATGAGAACAACTGAGATGGTTGTACAAGAGGATTACAATTTTGGGCCCATGTGGCAGACCGGACTCAGCTACGAGTTTGGGGTACATGTTCCTAACCGCTCACAAGGGACTAATCTGGCGAACAGTTTCTTTTGCAGATGAGTTTTACATCATCCCGAACCACAAGGTTATGACTGTACAATAAATTTTAGAGATACAGTTGAAATACTGTACTCTAAGGAGGCGTGTTAAGAGTATACATGCCCTTGGGTACATGCTTTGTCGAGCAGCACAGTTGGGCTACATCCGCTGCCCATACATCCCAAGGCCTTGAGCCTAGACAAGTCGCACAGAGGAAAACAATAGACTACAGCCGCGCTCATTCACTTCACAGGTTCTTCACATCAGGCATTCAGGTAACATTCAGTTTAACATATATATAATATATATATATATGTATACATATATATCTATATATGACATACATATTTGATGAATCCTGTTTTGGATTGGGTGTCAACATGGGGCACCCCCCTCTGGATGGCTCTAGAGAACCCGAGAGCAAGCCAAATGCCCGGAAGGGTCGATTTTGGGAGATTCGAAAACACCGCTGGGTCAACTTGGGGTTCTCTCACGGCTAGCCTTTTTTTAACGTCGTAGTGTGCTTTTTTGGGGAACTGAAGGGACACATTGCTATGTGTATTGTTCCTGTTGCCGTGCTGTTCTTTTGGGGTTCTGAAAGGGTAGCATCTGTGCTTTGGAAGGGGCTCCTACAGGGCAGAATTATTTTTGCTGTGCTCGCTTTTGGGTTGGTAGCATTCCCACATTCGATGCTCCTAAAAGAAACATATTGCTTTCAAACATGATAGGTTGGCTTGGTAACCTTCCTACATTTTCATGTTCCTAAAAGAAAAGTATTGCTTTCCAACATGTTCCCAAGGATACTCTGGTTCTCAAACATGACAGGTGACCCATGTTCCCGGACAGCTTACCCATCTTCCCAAAGGGCAACATCCCACAACCTCTTTCGCAAGGATTGCGATCTGGATCACCGGGTGGATTGGTTTTGACCTTCCATTCACTTCTTGGAGAACAGGCTTCTGCTCCTGTGGATGGACAAAACCCACCAGTTGGTGGGTGGTTCATTCCATTTCTCCCTCCCAAGTGGTGCCGGTTTTTTGGAGCCTCGGTCACCTTCCGGAGGGATGGCGTACCTCACGAAATCGATGTCCCGCAACTACCTCTATACTTTAGATCGGAAGCCCGCCCCCCACCGTGAACGTGCTAAAAGGGAGAACACCCAAGTGACTTGAAAGGAACACCTGCATTTAACATGCCCAGGTTCATTCCCCAAGCCTTGTAGACCCAAGCGGGGCATTTCCATTGCTCGGCGCTTGCCATGACCAAACCGCCTGTCAAACCTGGCGAGAGACCTGTGCCATGGTTGTGCCTGCAAGCGCTCAAGATGTGTCACATTCTTTGCAAGGCGTCACTTGCCGGTCACGAGCCCGGATTCGGAGACGTGGGGCGATCAAACCTGAAGGGTGCTTTCTCTACCGAAGTTTCTACTTCCTCCAGGGATGTCGGAGCAATGCTGCGAGGTTCGGTGGGATACGGATTTGTCTCGCAACATCGGCACACGAAGAAAGAGCACGACACTTCCCAGGAAACAGGACCAACTCGAATTTGTCCATGTTGTTGACGTCTTCCGCATGTTGGTCCGTGTAATTCTTCCGACTTTTTTGTGTTCGCCGCGTCCTTCCCCGCGCTTTTCCTTTTCTTCCGGCCTTCCCTGAGGTAAAACCGCTGGTGGTTCTGGATGTTGGGGAGTTGAACTTCCCCTGTTTTTTTTCTTCATTGTTTTTTTTTTTTTTTTTGGGGGGGGGGGGGCGTGTTCGGGCCCCTTCCCTTCCTCGATTTTTGCCCGAGGTGCCATGCCACAGGCAACGTGCTCGCGGACGCCGTAGAGGCGCGGAGCGGAGGTTTTTGCTCATGCTGACTTTTCGCCCACTTAGCGTGGATTTCTATTGCTAGTGCGATACGGCCTGCTGATTAGCAACTGGGGGGGTATTATTTAGGGGACAACTTCATCCGGAGTTGACTGAAGCTTGGCTGTGGAAGCGCTTGTCAAGCTTTCCCACCTCCCTCTGTTGGTGCGCTTTCCTCCCCTTGAAGTGGCTGTGGGTCAAAACCAATGGTACCATTTTGGGGTAGGTGCACCACTCATTTTAGCCTGTTTTGGTGGTTGGATTGGGATGTTCACTGGGGGTGCGATTTGGGTGTTGACCCATGGCCACGTTATGTTTTGGATGGAGCACTTCCATGCGAGGTAGAGACTAGATTCGTGCCCGCTTTGTCATTGCGGACCAAAGGGAGCAGAACAAAAAACCGGCACCCGGACTTCCCGAGAACAGGCCAGACTTGCAACGAACAAAACCCAAATGGGGGTTTCTCGAGTTTGGGAACCAACAATGGCGGATTTCCCTTCAAACCCAGGAAGCAAAGTAGCCTCAAAAATGTCGCACCCATCAATTCTAGGCTTCAAACATCAGCCGCAAATAAAACCATAGCGGGCTTTGACTTTCGACTCACGTGCGGAGTGGACGTGCCAAGGGCTTGCAAGCCGAGGGTTCTTCCGGGCTTAAACATAGTGGTTTTCTTTTTGGTTTCTCTTCAGAGCCAAGGTACCCTCAGAAAGCACCAACTTTTTTTGTGGTCTTTTGGGGCCCTTTGGCCCTCATAAGCTTGAGGTTGCGGGATCCTTACATTTAAAGGATGCAGAGTTTGGCCAAGAAAACAACTGGACCCGGCCCTCAACTCGCAAAACAAAACCCTTGGGCGACAGCCAAAACAAAGCCACACCATCCACTGCCACCCGCGCGCCAACTTCGCGCGGATCCTGCGCCAAGCGCCAAAAGCGCGGATCCGCCAACTCCTTCGCGCCATGCCGGTGGGTGGGCTGCTGAGCGCGGCGGCCCTGGCCGGGGTGGGGCAGACGATATGGCAGTACAACCGGGAGAACTACATGTTCGACGTGCCCCTCCGCCAGGCGAGTGGCGAGGGCGCGCGAAAAACGGCGGAAAGAGATGGCTGTGGTGGAAAGCTGTGGTCACAACCGTGAAAAATGGGATCCCGTATTTTGGTGGGGATTGGTGAATTTCCCACCCATGTTAGAACCTATTTGAGTGGTTGGATTGGGATGTTCACTGAGGAGTGATCGGGATTTTGACCCACAGCCAGATTTAAGCAGAAGAAGGGCACACCTTGCCAGAACTGCAGAACTGGAATCGATCGGGTGACACTTTTTGGATGGAAGAAAAAGGTGGTGTTCTTTTTTTTTTGTTGGAAAAACACTTTGTTCTTTAAAGCCTTGCCCTTGTATTGAATGAACACGCAAAGATATTTAAATCCAAGGTTTAGGGCGAGTCAAGGTTCACGCAGTTTGGACCCAGAATGGAGCATAGTACAGGACGTTGCCTTTCCTTTGACATCAATACTTCCGCCACTTGGAGATGCGATGCTCCCAGGATCTCTTGAATCTAGATCCAGGGTCCGTTCGAGGCTTCCGAAGCCTTCATGGTTGGCTCACCTGCAATAGAAATGGAGTCTGCGGTAGCTACAGGCGTGTCTTGTTGAGGCTATCCTCTTTGGTTTCAGAAGGGGAAACTAAAAGAAGGCCAACATGAGGTGGATCTCTAATTTGCCACAAGGAGACATCCAGAAAGTAAACTCCCCCCCTTTGAGTGGTTGAGTGTAGGTCTCCCAGGAAACTTGACCGCCTTCACCATGCTGGTTCCCCGCGGGTTCCATGCTGTTCTCTTGCCGAGAACTGGGGTCGGGTTGGCCCCAGGGTGGTTTCAGGGCTACTTTCTGTGATAAGGGAATGAAACACGCAGCATCACAGACGGCGGGTTACACAACCATCACGGCAGGCAAGGGAATTGTCCAGCTCTAGGTAGTAATACTTAGTTTTGTGAATCAGGATGATGTTAAAACCATATCCAGCATACTGAGTTGGATACTTCCCCAGTTGTCAACCCACCACGACCTCTCTTGAGCCAAAACTCCGGCCACGAACCGACCTGAAGCGAGCGCCTCTTCCCGGCGAGGCCAGGGACTTCCAGGTGCAGAACGTGAACCTGGCCAGGTACGCCCTGTTCCGGGAGGACATCCGGGATTTGGCGTCCCTGACCACCGACAAGGTGTCCAACCTCCTGGTGGTGAACACCCTGAAGGTGGGGAAGGTTGTGAATTCGCTGGAAAACCCATGGGTCTGTTTACCTCTTTCGTTTTTTTTTTTTTTTGGTTTTTATTTTTTTGTTTTAATAATAATAATATTATTATTATTTTAACGGGAACCCATTTTTGGCCGGTCCAGGCGGGAAGTTCCGTTCCGGTTCCGAAGGTCTCGGGACAGAGTTGCGGCGGTTTTCGTTCCGATGGAGAGCGCAAACCGCAGGGGTCTGATGGCTTCTTTTTTTTGAAGGGGAACCCATCTTTGGTGGGTTCAACAGGCATCGAGGGGAACACCATTACGCCAGTGTGGGGGTTCCCTAGAACACATGTTACACGTCTCGCGGGGTTGAAGAGAAACCAGGAGCGCAACAGAAGCCTGCGTTCCAAAGGAGGTTGGCTTCTACTTCCTGGTTTCATGGTGATAAAAGGCAAGGGTCCTTTCAACCTTTTCAATGCTACTAGAACCAGTCGCTGGGTTTTGGGCACTGCTCAAATTGGTTGCTTGGTCTCCAGCCGGCTTATCCTCAAGCGAAACCTGGTAAAGTCGGGTATGATCAAGACGTGAGGTCGGCTTCATAGTTGCCTTGTACTTCAACTTTGACCGCACGGACACGGGGTACCAAGACCGGTCTCTGAACGAAGACATCCTGAGCGTCCTCTTTGGGATGACTCTGCTGACCTCCTTCTTTTTCCTGCTTCTCGACCTGAAAAAGCCTTTTCTGCGCCCGGCTTTTTGGGCATTATGTCCATTTCAAGTCCAGTCCCTATTTTGGGGGTGTCGATTTCTAGACCTCCCCTACAACGATGCTTTTCCTTTTGGTTTCCTTTTAAAACCTACCAAGAAGGGTCCTCAAAAGACACCCATTTAAGTTTACTTTTGCCTTGCTGTATTTTTTGGTTGAAATCTATTGGTTCCCTTTCGTTTTTGGCACAAACCCAAAAGGTTCATTATTTTTTCAATCAAGTATCATTTACATATGTATTGATTCCGCAACAGCTAGGCCCCCCTAAAGATTCGATGAACATCCGCCAAAAGGCACGTTTTTGGCCTTTTGGTTTCCTCTTCTCCTTGCAGTCTGTTCACATGTTTAATAGTTATGTGTATGTTCCAATATGTTTTTCCTTGTTTAAGCTTTAAACAGGTTTTCTGTCAATATGTTTAATAGTCGTGTGTCTCTTCCATTATTTTCCCCGGTTTGACCTTTGACCAGTTTCCCGGTCGGTCGCAGTTTTGTTTCTATTTCATTTCTATTTCTATTATGTTTAGTAGTTCTGTTTCTATTTCATTGTGGTTTTCTGGCTAACCTTCAACCAGGTTCAACCCGGATAGTTTATTTTCCCTGTTTAACCTTTAACCAGTTTCCCGGTCGGTCGCAGTTATAGCTTTTCGATCATAGTTATGTTTCTATTTTATTTCTATTTCTATATGTTCAGTAGTTCTGTTTCTATTTCATTATGGTTTTCTGGCTAACCTTTAACCAGGTTCAACCCGGATAGTTTATTTTCCCTGTTTAACCTTTAGCCAGTTTTTTATGCTAATATGTTTCATACTTCTGTTTTTATTCCATGGTTTTGCCCCTGTTTAACCTAGGTTCAAGCCGAAGGGGTCGCAGTTTTTCGGCCTTGTCGGATAAGGATGACCTCCATCTGGTTCGCCATGCACGCGCTGCAGCTGGCCCAGGCCATCACCACCAAGCTGCTTGTGCAGGCGCGGGCTTCTGGGGGCTCGAGGGGCGCGGGCGGTTGGCGTCACAAAAAAGCCACGTGCTTCAAAAGCCGATTCGGGTAGATGAAGGTTAAAGTTGACCCCTTTTGTTAATATTAGTGATTGCTATTGCTATTATCAGTATTACTATGATTATTAGCGGTCTGATGATGATTAACGTTATCATTGTTATGACGATGATGTTGCTTAAAATTTGAACATACTCCAAAATGTAACATCATTGTTGAGGCCCAGAACTTCCATTTGCTTAAGCCCTCATGGACAGTAAACTATTTCCAGTAGTGATCAATTCCATACTGCGGATCTCCGCCTTCTGAATTGTTGAAGCATGGTTCTGGGTAGACCATTGTACCGGGTTTTGAGTATGACTCACATGCTGTTTGTCTTCTTTTTCAGGCTTGGTACGTCTCTTCTGATGGTATTCAAGGGAAACCAATATTTTCGGGGTTCCCTAAACAAGCTGCACCCACATCAGCCTTTCTCAAAATAGTGCTTCTCAGAATAGGAGTCCCATTTGTTGGATGGTTTTCAGGACAAGGAAATCAAGCACAGGAATTGAATGGAATTGGTCCCTAATTTTGAGGGAAGACCCATAGCACTCTCCCCTGCCATCCCCAAAAGGGTACTTCAAAAAAGGACGCACCACATGAGTTTGGTCAAGACAGATGTACTGTGGATGGACGAAATCCTGCGCCACCTAAGAAACCCTGGAATGATTCGATTCCCTATAAATACCAACAAACGTTATGGGCCAACCATGGTTGCATTTCGCGGTGCGAAATAGATTGCGTCCTTCAAAAATAGTGTGTCGTGAGGGTACCATTGTGTTTGAGAGGAAACCAAAGGACCACCCACTTTGTGAGTGAACATCATGGTCGTCACACCCTTCATTTCGATAGGTGTCGATTGGACGAAAACCCACCGTTTCGGTGAAAATCAGTGGACCAGTAAAATCGGTTCAGCCGCTTTCTGTCCTTTTCATCCTTTTCCAGAATGGAACCCGGATCTGAATCCCTGGTTGATGAATAGGTGTGTGTGTGTGTGCGCCCCTTTAGTGGGGGTTCATCACTGGAGACCATTTCTAGCAATGGGAAGGGCTTACTCCGGGGTCAACATTGGCTGGGTCGACCCCTTTGGTTTTCCAAGCCGTGAGCCTTCTTGCACGGCAACAGTTGGTGCAATTCAGCCATCAGAGTTTCAGAATGTGCTGTGAGCCTACCTTGGGGAAGATCAGGGGGCCCGTCTGAAGACTTCTGAGCCTCCGTGTCCCGAAGCCATAGACGGGATTATAGACGGGACATGTTGACCGAAACTCGATCAAAACCTGGTACCAGAAGTTCAGAGGGAAATATTTCTGGACAAGGGCTTCATATGGCCATGGGCTTTTCAAAATCCGAATTTCGTTCCCCCAGTGAACGGGACCTAATCCAACCACTAAAATAGGTTCTAAAACGGGTGGTGAATTCACCTACCAGCCAAAATGGGATCCCAAAACGGTTTTGACAACCACCATACAGTGGAGCTGTGGTTTAGTTCGACCGCCCACTGAAATTTTGCCGAGCTCACCCAGCCACCCCTTGAGTGAGGTCTCTTGAAAATCCGGTTGCATTCGCCCAATACCTTCCATGACCCCTTGAGTTCCGGTTGCATTCGCTCGCAAAAATACCTTCCGCTAAGATTGGGTTCCACCAATTTGGGTCTTGGAGGAAACGGTTTCCAACCTTTCGTAAAGTTTCACATTTGCCCAATGGATCCCGCCAGTTCAACATGAGACAAGCCTCAAACCAAACAAACCTGGGATTTCTTCCCACAAACCCGAGGTGTTTTTGGTAGGTTTGGGCTTCTGAGCGCCGGCTCCGAAAGCATGTCGGATACCCCTACTCCAAATACCCGCTTTTTTCAGGGTATGATGTCGACCCGCTACTAAACAACGGCGGTATTTACCGTGGAACACCAGGTTTTCCCATACCCTGAAAAAAGCGGGTAGTTGGAGTAAGGGGTGTTTGATTGATCCGGAATCTTTGTGGGGTTCGGAGGGTGAACTTGGAGCATTTGCCAAACCCGCGACGCGGCTAGGGCCATGGGATGTTGATGTTTAGGTTCGTGCCATCTGCTTTTGACCAAAAGGACACCCTTTTTTTTTCCAAGCCTTTAAGCAACTTAGCTTTTGGGCCATCTGTTTTGACCCAAATAAAGGCTTTACCTATGTTTTTCCCACGCCCAAAACGTTGTTCACCATGTGCCATCTCTTCTTTTTTTCCACCCAAAGGTCAAGCCTTTAGACCAGTAAACCACGCCCATGGCCTCGCTCCGCTCGCTCCGCTTCGATCCGCTCGCCCCGCTCGCTCGCTTCGATTCGCTCCCTCGCTCCGAGTCGAGCCGGTGGGTCCCTCGGTCGGTGCGAGGTGGCCGCGGGCCAACATGGGATCCCATTTCGGGGTCATGTTAGAACCTATTTTAGTGGTTGGATTGGGATGTTCTCTGGGGCTACGATTTGGGTTTTGAGCCACAGCCAAATGGGTACCCCCTAAATTTCTGGAGGGTTTTGGATCTTTTGGTTGCCATTTAATACACGAAAAGCGAATCCTTCGGGGATCTGAGGATGATTGGTACGATTTGGGGTTTTGTTTTGACCCATGGCCATGCTTTTCTGGTTATTTGTTAGCACTTGGACGTTTTTTTTTTTTTTTTTTGAGAAGAACGATGGTTGAAAAGAATGGAAACGGAATCAACCCCTAGAATAGCCAATTTGGGTTTGCACCCATGGCTATGTTATTTCTTTTTCTCCCCTGTTGGTTTTGAAGGGAATCTATCGCAACTGGACGGATCGGTTCTCTGTTGGACCAAACACCCGCCAGGCCCACCCATTTTAGAACCTATTTTGGTGGTTGGGTTGAATCGGATGTTCACTGGTACGGGGTGAACGGATCCATGGCCAACCCCTAGAATCGCCAATTTGGGTTTGGACCCATGGCCCAAAAACGTGTGCAACCCTTCCCCCCCAAAAAAAACCAGGTGGTGCGGGGTTCGGATCCATGGCCAGGTGGTGCGGATCCCGCTGCCCTCGGAGTTCGACATCGCCGCCGCGGCCTCCGAGGGCCGGGACTTCGAGATGAACTTCCGGGAGGCGGCTTCGGGGCGCGCGCGATTCTTCGGCGCTCGGTTTTGGGGGGGGCGTCTGCGCGCCGCCGCGCGTTTTTTTTTTTGGGGGGTTTGGGGGGGCGGACAAAATGCGGGGCGCTGGCTGGGTCAACCGGGCATCTGAGGTTCCTTCATTTTTTTGGGTTTTTTTGGTTGGTTTAGTGGTGGCTTCCGTCGGTTCCTCAACGTTGTTTTTTTGGGTTTTTGGTTGTTTTGTAGTTGTTTTTTGGTTGTTTTTTGGTTGGTTTTAGTTGGTTCAGTGATAGTTTCCATTTTGCCAAGAGTTTTCGACATCGCGCCGCAAGCGTTGTGTTTGTTCGAGAAGGCGCCCTTGGTGCAGTTCGCAAGTGGTGAGATTCACCTGGGTAAGAACTTTTGCAACGGGAACCATCTTGCCTGTTGCCTCTAGTTGCATTTGATTTTGCTATTACACATTCTTTCAATCTGTAGGCACTTTCAGCCTGTATTCCCTGGAAAAAGTTCCAGAACGCCAGACGCAAGATTGCGCCGGGCCGAGCTTGCTGGTTCTCGGAGCATTTCTTTGGGTTGGTCGCCTTTTTTTTGCAAGGGTACTGGGGTACCTCGTGTTTTTTTGGTGGGTTGCAAAAAGGAGGGAAACCGAAGCGCGCCATTCTTTTTCTTTTTGGGGGGCCTAAAGAATGACGAGCCACCCATAGGAGTTCTGGTTTTAGCACAGCGACAGCTGGATCTTGGAAGCCGGAAGAGATGGGTCAGACCCTTGCTGGCCGTGAATTTTATATGTTTTTCCTAAGAAATGTCCTTTGCCGCCGGTTGGATGGTGTTTGGTTTCAACTCATCCGGCAAGCTGGCAACAAACTGGCAAGGGCCAACAAAGTCCATGGGCTTCCGTTTGCGAAGAAGCTCCTCTTGGTCTTTCGAAAGCTTTCGGGGATCCGAAGGTCCTTCAAGGGGACCTGAAGTATGAGGCAACAGACCTCAACTTATGCATAGGGTCTTGAAACCCTAAAAGTTGTTCCTGTCGAGGCGGGCATTGTCGGGCCTGCTGCGGCTGGAAACACGGGGTTGTATTTCTTTGAGGCTGAGTACCAAACCTTCGGATTTGTTTGAAAGGGAGAGTTCCCTCAAGACGCCCAAATCACCCGTGTTTTGACCCTTGCCGGCTGCCAGAAGCAGGGTTCAAATGCGAAATCGCAGGGGCTTCTTGAGGCGATTTCTGCTGGTTCCTCCAAGAAAAAGGACCGCCCTGTTTGCTTCTTAGG